AGCTATATTTACCACCGGCTGCATGCCACTTTAATTATTTTTAATAAAAAAAATATATTTTTTTTCGAAATACTTTTATTCAGAATAAAATGTGTTCTTAATAATTAAATAAAACAAAAAAAAATCGCTCATCAATCGCTGAATTTATTTTATTGTTCAGAAATTTACATCTTTCAGTTTAATACAATTGTGCCTATGTTTTATACATTTTTTGGAAGCTGATTGAGAGTCATATCTCAATTTAATTCTTTCAACGAAGGTTTATCTTCCTTAAAATGGTAACTTTAGTTTCGGAAACAAAAAAGTTTTACTAGGCCATGCTAGGTGAAACTTGAGGTGAAAATGAAGATGTCAAGATATACTACGATCGAACAATATACTTAGACCACACGAGGCTCCATAACCGCCCCGATATCACGTTCCTTGATAAGAACGAACGTAAATGCTACTTCATTGATGTTGCAATCTCTGCTACCAGAAACATGTGCCGTACATACACAGAGAAAATTAGCAGATATACTGAGTTAGCAGTGGAAACTAAACGAAACTGGAACGTTAAGGAAATCAAGACCATTCCAATAATAATAAGCGCTTAAGGTGTAATTGACAAACATCTCTGTACAAATATGAGCAGCTTTAGACTCCCGCAAAACTTCGTTGATACCATGCAGAAGTCAGTGATCATCGATATCTGTCATATCACCAGAAGTTTCATTACCTAAATTCTCATATACAATATATTTTGTCAGGGCATTATAAGAGCGCTTTGTGGTTCAAACCCTCAATCTCCCAATATTTTTTGGATCATTTCACACTAGATATAATGAAAACATCTATAGAATATTTAGAAGCAATTGCCTCTAATATTTATTCTCTAACTTTCAATGAAATCTCTGCATCGATACTCGGTTAGTACGTGATTTATTATTCGAAACAAGTGATGAAAAAAAGTGTAGCGAATGTGGTAGAATTGTCTTTCCAAATAATTATTAACAAATCAATATTATTAGTGGAATGTATTTTCCATTACGTCAGTTTTTTACAAGATCTCACTTTTATCCTATAAGTTGCACGCAATTGTGGTTGTTAGCTATTTCGGTTTATTCCAGTTTTAGTATATTTCATCTTTCTAATTCCACTAAATCAAGAACATCACCTCCTTAACATAAAAACATTGATTTACCTTTAAATTATCGTAAAAAATCTTCTGCAGTTCTTTACCAATTCCGAGCTTTCTGGTGTCTTTGTACATGTTTTCTTTCCATCTCAACTTCGGTCTGCCTCTATGCCTTGCTGTCATCGGATTAGCATTAAAAATCAATAATTTTTTTCGGGGAGACATATTTATTACGAGGGTGTAGTAATTTTTTTTATTGATCAACTTGGAGTGTTTGTAAAAAAAAGAGACAGAAGTCTTTCATAGTGATTAAATTTTTGTACATTCAAAATAATACGTCTTTAGAAATTAAACACCAATTAAATAAAAAAAAAATCTGGAGAGATGAAGATGCAACTTCTGTATTAAAAAATATCAGAAATGAGTATTAATTGGTATTAGATGATCATTGCATAGAAATTAATTAAGCCTACTTGTCTGGACCAAAAATGAAATCATTTATGCATTTCTAAGTATCTGTTACCTTGTTTAAACAAAACAAGGAGGACAATTTATACAAATTCTTAGGTGTTTACGAAATGTCTTCACAGTAAAAGAAAATACTTTGCTTCACTAAGATAATGGACAGGCTCATACTTTGATAGGCGCTGTCTAAAACTCACAAATTTTATTTTAAGTGAATTGATCATCGCCATAAGTTAGCAGATCTGGACCCCAGTGATGTTACTATTTCCATGTTTTAAATTTGTTTGAACGGCAAAAATATTCGTAGAAAATGAATATTTTGATGGCATTCACGTATTGAACTATTAGAAAGGTTTAAGAGAAAAGTTGAAATCTTGTCGAAAAAACTATAATGAGTTAATCACTTCTTATGTCGAAGCAAAATCCACAAAAACAAAACATTCCTTACTTTCTTTGGTAGAATTCTTTCAAACAACTCTTGTACATACATATATGTATTTCTAGTTATGGAAGCTGAACAATGGTGCAGTAAACCCGCACACGTATTACTTAATATCTATTTAGTACAATTCAGCATAAGTAATAAATTAACAAATAGTTAACATTGTACTATTCATATCCAATAAAAGATGTTTAAAAAAAAAATATGTATTACATGTGAGAAACAATTTATATTTTTTTAAAATATAATTTAAAAATGCTATGCAATTGCTCAAAATGTAATAGAACATTTAAAAATTGTACTCATCTTAGGATATTTATTTTTAATAAGAACTTCTACAATAGTGGGTAAATGGACAGCTCCAAACTTTTGTAGCATCTGCGCTAGCGAAAAAAAAAGAACATGTCCTTTTACCTGCATCACGCCCATGCCTTCTAGCTTTGAGAAATCTAGACTACAAGATATTTAGACTCTTAATCTCAGCGCTCTCCTAATTATTGAAATAAAGTTTCCATTTTCGGTGTGGACATCTTTTCTGTTCACACCTATGTAATTAAAATAGTTATAGTGGGTAAAGAGTTGGTTTTAGTGGGTTAAAGTCTCACACTATGGCAGTTGATGGTTTCCTTCTACTGCAAAAAAACAAAACAGTTAGCATATAGTAAGTCCTACTATTAACTGTAAGAGTATAAGTTTGCAAACTTTTTTCGACATTCGCCTAAATTATCCTAAATCTATCCTAAACTACATTAGACATTTAAACTAATAATAATGATTTATTGCTTTTCATTTTAATAATTAGTAAAATTTTTGTTTCCAATATTAAATTCGATGAGACTGCAATAGGTTAATTTATGGGATATCAGAAACATAAAAATTTCCACATATATCAAATGAAATATTATTTTAAATTTTTACAAATTATGAGTTAAGCTAGATCGTTTATTTACTACATTAACTGTATGTAATGCAAATAATATAATTTATGGATTACATTCATTGTGATAAATGAGAAATATGGATTTGCAAAAGTATCTCTTTTTAATGCATATGATTAACTTAAGAACTTATCTTTATTTTTTGAATATAGCCTGAAAAATTTTACTAACAATTTTTTTTCACGATTTTTATAGAAATCAAAGAAGTGCTGTAACGTATAGTAGAGTTTGTCTCCTTTCGTATACTCTTCAACGTTTTATTTAAAATAAATTCAAAACGTACATCACGTAGTATCTCGCAAAAAAAATTTAAACAATCAACAGTTTAATTAAGTGAAGGAAGAAATACGTTATTTAAGCTTATGGTAGTATTTAATGCAATACAATACTTTATTATTGAGTTTATTTACTAAAGGGGTAATATATTTTAAAAGTTAATTCAAAATTGCGGTAATGCTGATTATATTGAATATGCAAGATAGTAATACTGAGACTGAATTCAAGGACTCATAAATTTAGTTAAAACTAAACGATAAACGAAAAAATAAATTATAACATATAACATATATGGTAACATATATGGTTAAAATCAGTTAAAAATGTTTTATATTTTAATATATGTTTTATTATTAAATATGTCAAAATATGACCTAACAGGTATGTATTTTAAATTTATTTATTAATTATATTGTATGCCTGCTTCTATGTATATTGTATAACCTTTTCTGTAACAACGAAACTGTACCCCCTTCTTGACTATGTGAAGATACTGTGGCAGTTACGATCAATTGATTTTACTTAACGCAGGCAACAAAGACTTTAGTCCACGACAAGCCAAAAGTTTCTTTCATTGGCAAAACAGAAGAAAAGACCGAATTTCACGTGGAACAAGATTATTGCATTTTTAAGCCAGTTATTCCAGCATGGCAACGAGTTTCTTGTATCTAAAAATAATACCGGCCGGTTTTAAGGTTTAAAAAAGAGAATAACAGATCTAAAAGAATCGTTTTGAAGGCGATGCTACGTACAGCTTTACAAAGGATGCAAATTCTATATATATAAATATATATGTTTGGTATATAAACTACAACAACAACGAAAAAAAATTAAAACATTTACAAAAAAGTCAAATGATTTAAAAGTAAAGACAACTCAAGAGGAACGAATATTCTACAAAATTCTTCGTTTATGTTTTCTTGTAGTTTCTATGCTGCTGCTTGATGCTGCTGTAGCCGATGTTACTCTGCTTAATGGTGTTAGTGAGTTCGAGTTTACCTGCTCCCTGACATCAGGTAGGCGGCAAGTACCAGGCAACCTACGGTCTTTTAGTCGTGGTAAATCCTTTTGACTTACGTTGAACACGATCGAAGACGAAACAATTTAAACCTTTAATAATGATCATTATGATTGTAATGTGTATAACCATTACGAAAATGGTTATACTGAAGCAATGACGATGACGATGACGAAGACGAAGATGATGATGCTAGTTACAACATGGTGCATAAGAATGACTTATTCAAACTGCATTTTGTTTGAAAATTCAATATAAGTAAAAAATATGTTTTGCTTTTGTGTGAGTAGATTATACCATTGATAGGAGGAATATAGGTTCTGGCATCTAACTTAATGCAGATACTATTTCCTTATATAAACAATATCAAAGCAGAAATGAATAATTTCTAAAATCAATCAAAATGCTTTCAATAAAGAATCTTATATTTATTTTGAGAAATTTATTGTGTATTGTACACTGACCTCTTCTAAAATAGCGAAGATTATGTATTAGGCGAAACAGTAAAAAACCACGTACTTCGAGAAGCACCAACGAAAGCAAATGCCACTGGCAACGGTTTAGAGATTTGCTCTTTAATAGTTTCCTCTAACTTCAGTTTATTTATGCAAATTCATCTCAAAAATATGTAACGCATATATAATATATTTTTTATATATAAATTTTTAATTACTTTTTTCTTCTTGTACCATTGCTGTTGCTCTTGCTTTCGGCTTATAACTCAACAAAGTCATATCAAAATTTTAGTACGTTCGCGACTGCACAAGAAGCATTTAGTATTGAAAAAATCGCGCGGTGATTGTGAATAATATTAAACTAACTCTAATAATTCATTTTAATTCGTTTGTTTTATTTAAAAATAAATAAAAATAATTCATATTTAATTTGCTAAGCATTGTTAATAATGCCAAATCCATCTAACGGCTTTTATCCCTTTTTTAAGAGAAGGGTAGGTTTAAAAATATTTTATTTCAAATTAAGCTTGAAATATTTTAGTTAGATGTGATAAGACTATTTAAACATATTAATATAAAAAATTAAACTCACTGAAATTGGGTTAAATAATATTGTTGTGTATGCCAAGGTCTCCGAATGTTTTTAGAAGTTGTTTATTATTAGTATACAAAACTATATAAAAAAATACTCTAATTGTTGAAGCAATTTATTATTTAAATTCTATTTACAAAATATTTAAAATAAAGGTGTTGTGCTAATTTATTTTGACACATGTTTTATTTGTTTTATAATTTCTTTTTAAATATCCGTAAAAATTTAAAAAAAGTATTAGTTTTAATACTTATATATTATTTTAATTAAAATAAAAATAAAAAAAATTAATAAAGCTATCCATAATTTAGAGTTTATTCATTCACTGTGTCTTTCGTTAGATACAATACAAATAATATAGTTGTCCTAAAATTAAAAATAATTAAATTACTAATAATAATTAATATTGGGTGATGTAAAGTATCCGCCGTATTTTGGTAAAAAAATATTAATTAATTTTATATGAGCCTCTATTAACTGTGGCCTTTTACCATTTTACGGATAGCATCATAATTCCATCAGTGATTTTTAGCTGCTCTTTGGTTGGTCAATTTTTCACCATTAAGAAAGTGTTGCAGGCACCAAAACAAATTATAGACAGACAGTGTAAGGTCTGGACTATACGGAGTCATCAAAGATGTGTATGATTTGGTATTGTCATAATAGAACACACTCCGTTTGCTGTTGGCAAATTCTGATCGCTATTTGTTGATTGTTTCGTTTAAGCAGTTGAGTTGTAAGCAGTAAATAACCGAATAAACCGTTGCACCAGGCTAGATCAGTTTGTAATTGACAATTACTTTCAAAAACCACTACTCCCTCGATACAGGCTTTGAAGTCAATTATGAAATTAATAATGGCTTGCGTTGAATATTACCGTGTTTAATCTATTTTTCAGCGGTAATTAATGTGGTACCCAAACATCCATCATCTTTGAGTAGCCTATTTTTTAAAATAAATAATTTGAAACTCATGATTTAGTTTTTATATCAGTTAATATAATGCTAAAGTGAGTCACAATTTTGTTAATTGTACAGCTTTTGAGCATTAATTTGAAATACCACCTGTAAGTAAAGGAATAGTTTTTTTCCATCCTTAGCGCTTAATCCGAAATAATCCAAAATAAATTTTAAAGTATATTTAGATCAAGTTGATATAGTTCACTTAAATTATTAAAAAGCGTGATTCTAAATAAAATGTGATACCTTTCCTAACTTCCTTCCTGGTATAAATTATTTTAGTGCCATCCATATTAGCAATATAGTAAATCGGTAATAAAATCACAGTAACAATAATTTGCCTAAGTAAGTTTTATAGTACAATCTTACCCTCTAAAATTTAACAGATGCCGCATTAAATGCAAAACCTTATGTTACTCTCTAAAGTTAATAACAGTAACTCTTTTTGGTTAAATCTTAAGCTCTAGAGTTCAAAACATACCAGCCCACTTTTAGATAGATTTTTAACGGCTTGGAAACTTATCACCACATCACTATATCCATACATCACTATATAGTTGTGACAAACTCATTTTAAAAATGCCATTACCATTGTCCTTTGAGAGATGTTGCCAAATTTCGTTATAACTGGATAGGTATTTGATGAGTACCGAAATCTGAGTCTGGCGAGACAATCACAGTGACACTGAATATGTTTTGCTGTTTTCTATTCTTCGTAGCAAAGTATGCAGTTATAGTTTTTTGTAATACCTACCAGCCCACTTACAAATAGCTGTTAATATCTATCACTCTAATCTATCAATAAAGTGTATAAAAAAGAATCTTATGAGTAGACATTTACTTTGCATTTATCAACGACGTTCATGTCCGAAAATTTAAACAAGTAAAATACTAAACTTTGCCGACATTTCATTACCAAAACATCTGACAGCTCGACACCATTATTACACCCTATGAGCTGGTTTAGTGTTTTCCATGCCGAAATCTTTATCTAGAATTTTAGTTGACTAATCAAAGCTAGCGTAAAACTTAACCAGGGGCTAATATGGAACCAGCGTACAATATCATTGATCTGGCTTAAACGACAAAAGCTTCCTCAGCAGAGGATTGAATACTGATCTCTACATTTCATCAATCTTAATTTGGTGTCCCAAGTATGTGAACTTCACAACAGGTGTCCCATTCCCCCTCGCTATGCAAACGGTGGCAAGAATCAAAAGCTTCCTGAGCAGAGGATTGAATACTGATCTCTACATTTCATCAATTTTAATTTGGTGTCCCAAGTATGTCAACTTCAAAACAAGTGTCCCGTTCCCCCTCGCTATGCAAACGGATTGCCCTCCATGCATAGAGTCTGTATTTTTTGAGATAAATGAATAAAATTTTATAGTGTTTTTTGAAACACTTACTTATTTGACCATTACAGCCCGTTACCGAATTTCGACCTGACGCAGCAAGGTCCCAGTTTTTCCAAGGACCTTTGCCGCGTGCACGCCTTCTTCAGTCCCGTACATTAAATCCGGTTAGTGCTCTCTTAACTTGATAATTCTACCGGAGACACGGTCTATCTCTATCTCTCTGTATCTATCTCTATCTTTCTCCAACTACTGCTTCAAACACTTCGCTGAAGCATATTCATCCATTCTAACAATATGACCAAGCCTGCAAAGCCGCTGGATGTTAATTCGCTTAATTATATCAATGTCGTAATAAAGCTCGTACAAGTCGTGATTCATTCGTATGCGCTTCGTTGTTCTTTAGTCGCTGTAAAGCAACATTTTTGTCCTTACAGGTTGATGCTCCAGGCTTAAAACCTTAAGTCAGACACGCGTTTTTTGAGTGAGTTTTTTGTAACAAGGTTTTTTAGTGTAGTTCGCTAGTAGTTTTTTGTTTTGCATTCCTTATTAGTTTTTTATTGACGCTTCACACTTTTGCTTTGTTTATTTTAAAGTACAGTAATCCCCCTATAACGCGGTAGATTGGTTCCGCGTTATAGGTATGTTCCCGTATACACACGTTCAAAGGTATGCGATTCTAATTATTTATGAATTATAAATATTAATAAATTTACCTCTTTCTCTCTTTCTTTGTTTTACTAATAAAGGTCAATAGACTCTCAAAATCGCTTACATTTTCAATCCGTTATCGTTTATTTGAATATTTTTTGATTTATATAAATATTTGCTAATTAATGTAAATATTTGTTTTATGCTAATAAATTTAATAATAAATAATTTATACTTAATTTTGTTTTCAGTGTCTACAAGTAGCCACAAATGTAACAGAACAAAAACATCATGTAACGAGAGAAATAAGAGGAAAGAATTTAGGTTTATGTCGAGGGTTTCGAGGATGCACTGTTTGGTTAACCGGTAAGACATATATACTGCTATCTAATACTGCTACTTATATTAATTAATAGTGTATAAAGTAAGATTATTTTATTAAATAAAATTAAAATTAATATATCTCAAAATAGAAAAATTAGACAAAAAATAATTTTTTCATATTTTTCCGCTAACTGTTAGGACTGAGTGGTGCTGGCAAAACTTCAATTGCCTTTGAATTAGAGGCTTATCTAGTGTCACGTGGCATTCCTGCATACGGTCTTGATGGTGATAATATACGCACAGGTTTGAATAAAAATCTAGGTTTTACACCGGCAGATAGAGAGGAAAATATACGTCGTGTTGGTGAAGTAGCAAAATTATTTGCTGATAGTGGTGTTGTAGCGATTTGCAGTTTTGTTTCACCATTTGCGGATGACCGTGAATTAGTGCGGAAAATACATAAAGACTCGGATCTTAAATTTTATGAAGTCTATGTAGATACACCTTTGTCAGTGTGTGAGACGAGAGATGTTAAAGGCTTATATAAAAAAGCTAGGGAAGGTATTATTAAGGGATTTACTGGTATAACGCAAGAATATGAAGTTCCACAACATCCAGAAATAGTAGTAAGCACAGATGGGTTTACGATACAGGAATCTACACAAAAAGTGATACATCTACTAGAAGAAGAAGCGATAATACCTAAAACCTTACGAGACATCAATCAAGTAGGTTTTTGTTAGAATTTTTATATATATATTATTTTTCCTCTATAATTATTTTTAATTATTCTTATTATCTAAGCTTCCTGAACTCTTTATAGATTCAAGTCGCACAGAAGCAGCTTTGCACGAAATAAAATCTTTAAAAACAATTCCTATCACTAAAATAGAACTGCAATGGTTGCAAATATTATCAGAAGGTTGGGCATATCCTTTAAAAGGATTTATGCGCGAACAAGAATACCTTCAAACTTTGCATTTTAATTCCATATTAACGGAAGATGGTGCCTTTCGTGAAAATCAATCGGTGCCTATTGTATTATCTGTATCAGCTGATGCTAAAGAGAAATTAGATGGTATTAAATTATAGCAAAATACAAATAAAAAAAGTATCTATATTCATAATTTTTTTTACAGGTGTCTCTGCACTAGCTCTTACTTACAATGATAAAGCTATAGCTATTCTACGCAAACCTGAATTTTATTATCATCGAAAAGAAGAACGATTATCTCGTCAATTTGGTACAAGCAATCCTAATCATCCATATGCTAAAATGGTCTTTGAATCACTAGATAAGCCTCTAATAAAATAAATAATTTATACTTAATTTTGTTTTCAGTGTCTACAAGTAGCCACAAATGTAACAGAACAAAAACATCATGTAACGAGAGAAATAAGAGGAAAGAATTTAGGTTTATGTCGAGGGTTTCGAGGATGCACTGTTTGGTTAACCGGTAAGACATATATACTGCTATCTAATACTGCTACTTATATTAATTAATAGTGTATAAAGTAAGATTATTTTATTAAATAAAATTAAAATTAATATATCTCAAAATAGAAAAATTAGACAAAAAATAATTTTTTCATATTTTTCCGCTAACTGTTAGGACTAAGTGGTGCTGGCAAAACTTCAATTGCCTTTGAATTAGAGGCTTATCTAGTGTCACGTGGCATTCCTGCATACGGTCTTGATGGTGATAATATACGCACAGGTTTGAATAAAAATCTAGGTTTTACACCGGCAGATAGAGAGGAAAATATACGTCGTGTTGGTGAAGTAGCAAAATTATTTGCTGATAGTGGTGTTGTAGCGATTTGCAGTTTTGTTTCACCATTTGCGGATGACCGTGAATTAGTGCGGAAAATACATAAAGACTCGGATCTTAAATTTTATGAAGTCTATGTAGATACACCTTTGTCAGTGTGTGAGACGAGAGATGTTAAAGGCTTATATAAAAAAGCTAGGGAAGGTATTATTAAGGGATTTACTGGTATAACGCAAGAATATGAAGTTCCACAACATCCAGAAATAGTAGTAAGCACAGATGGGTTTACGATACAGGAATCTACACAAAAAGTGATACATCTACTAGAAGAAGAAGCGATAATACCTAAAACCTTACGAGACATCAATCAAGTAGGTTTTTGTTAGAATTTTTATATATATATTATTTTTCCTCTATAATTATTTTTAATTATTCTTATTATCTAAGCTTCCTGAACTCTTCATAGATTCAAGTCGCACAGAAGCAGCTTTGCACGAAATAAAATCTTTAAAAACAATTCCTATCACTAAAATAGAACTGCAATGGTTGCAAATATTATCAGAAGGTTGGGCATATCCTTTAAAAGGATTTATGCGCGAACAAGAATACCTTCAAACTTTGCATTTTAATTCCATATTAACGGAAGATGGTGCCTTTCGTGAAAATCAATCGGTGCCTATTGTATTATCTGTATCAGCTGATGCTAAAGAGAAATTAGATGGTATTAAATTATAGCAAAATACAAATAAAAAAAGTATCTATATTCATAATTTTTTTTACAGGTGTCTCTGCACTAGCTCTTACTTACAATGATAAAGCTATAGCTATTCTACGCAAACCTGAATTTTATTATCATCGAAAAGAAGAACGATTATCTCGTCAATTTGGTACAAGCAATCCTAATCATCCATATGCTAAAATGGTCTTTGAATCACTAGATAAGCCTCTAATAAAATAAATAATTTATACTTAATTTTGTTTTCAGTGTCTACAAGTAGCCACAAATGTAACAGAACAAAAACATCATGTAACGAGAGAAATAAGAGGAAAGAATTTAGGTTTATGTCGAGGGTTTCGAGGATGCACTGTTTGGTTAACCGGTAAGACATATATACTGCTATCTAATACTGCTACTTATATTAATTAATAGTGTATAAAGTAAGATTATTTTATTAAATAAAATTAAAATTAATATATCTCAAAATAGAAAAATTAGACAAAAAATAATTTTTTCATATTTTTCCGCTAACTGTTAGGACTGAGTGGTGCTGGCAAAACTTCAATTGCCTTTGAATTAGAGGCTTATCTAGTGTCACGTGGCATTCCTGCATACGGTCTTGATGGTGATAATATACCACAGGTTTGAAATAAAATCTAGGGTTTTTACCCGGCAGATAGAGAAGGAATATACTCGTGTTGGTGAAGTTAGCAAAAATTTGCTTGATAGTGGTGTGTAGCGATTTGCAGTTTTGTTTCACCATTTGCGGATGACCGTGAATTAGTGCGGAAAATACATAAAGACTCGGATCTTAAATTTTATGAAGTCTATGTAGATACACCTTTGTCAGTGTGTGAGACGAGAGATGATAAAGGCTTATATAAAAAAGCTAGGGAAGGTATTATTAAGGGATTTACTGGTATAACGCAAGAATATGAAGTTCCACAACATCCAGAAATAGTAGTAAGCACAGATGGGTTTACGATACAGGAATCTACACAAAAAGTGATACATCTACTAGAAGAAGAAGCGATAATACCTAAAACCTTACGAGACATCAATCAAGTAGGTTTTTGTTAGAATTTTTATATATATATTATTTTTCCTCTATAATTATTTTTAATTATTCTTATTATCTAAGCTTCCTGAACTCTTTATAGATTCAAGTCGCACAGAAGCAGCTTTGCACGAAATAAAATCTTTAAAAACAATTCCTATCACTAAAATAGAACTGCAATGGTTGCAAATATTATCAGAAGGTTGGGCATATCCTTTAAAAGGATTTATGCGCGAACAAGAATACCTTCAAACTTTGCATTTTAATTCCATATTAACGGAAGATGGTGCCTTTCGTGAAAATCAATCGGTGCCTATTGTATTATCTGTATCAGCTGATGCTAAAGAGAAATTAGATGGTATTAAATTATAGCAAAATACAAATAAAAAAAGTATCTATATTCATAATTTTTTTTACAGGTGTCTCTGCACTAGCTCTTACTTACAATGATAAAGCTATAGCTATTCTACGCAAACCTGAATTTTATTATCATCGAAAAGAAGAACGATTATCTCGTCAATTTGGTACAAGCAATCCTAATCATCCATATGCTAAAATGGTCTTTGAATCACTAGATAAGCCTCTAATAAAATAAATAATTTATACTTAATTTTGTTTTCAGTGTCTACAAGTAGCCACAAATGTAACAGAACAAAAACATCATGTAACGAGAGAAATAAGAGGAAAGAATTTAGGTTTATGTCGAGGGTTTCGAGGATGCACTGTTTGGTTAACCGGTAAGACATATATACTGCTATCTAATACTGCTACTTATATTAATTAATAGTGTATAAAGTAAGATTATTTTATTAAATAAAATTAAAATTAATATATCTCAAAATAGAAAAATTAGACAAAAAATAATTTTTTCATATTTTTCCGCTAACTGTTAGGACTAAGTGGTGCTGGCAAAACTTCAATTGCCTTTGAATTAGAGGCTTATCTAGTGTCACGTGGCATTCCTGCATACGGTCTTGATGGTGATAATATACGCACAGGTTTGAATAAAAATCTAGGTTTTACACCGGCAGATAGAGAGGAAAATATACGTCGTGTTGGTGAAGTAGCAAAATTATTTGCTGATAGTGGTGTTGTAGCGATTTGCAGTTTTGTTTCACCATTTGCGGATGACCGTGAATTAGTGCGGAAAATACATAAAGACTCGGATCTTAAATTTTATGAAGTCTATGTAGATACACCTTTGTCAGTGTGTGAGACGAGAGATGATAAAGGCTTATATAAAAAAGCTAGGGAAGGTATTATTAAGGGATTTACTGGTATAACGCAAGAATATGAAGTTCCACAACATCCAGAAATAGTAGTAAGCACAGATGGGTTTACGATACAGGAATCTACACAAAAAGTGATACATCTACTAGAAGAAGAAGCGATAATACCTAAAACCTTACGAGACATCAATCAAGTAGGTTTTTGTTAGAATTTTTATATATATATTATTTTTCCTCTATAATTATTTTTAATTATTCTTATTATCTAAGCTTCCTGAACTCTTCATAGATTCAAGTCGCACAGAAGCAGCTTTGCACGAAATAAAATCTTTAAAAACAATTCCTATCACTAAAATAGAACTGCAATGGTTGCAAATTTTATCAGAAGGTTGGGCATATCCTTTAAAAGGATTTATGCGTGAACAAGAATACCTTCAAACTTTGCATTTTAATTCCATATTAACGGAAGATGGTGCCTTCCGTGAAAATCAATCGGTGCCTATTGTATTATCTGTATCAGCTGATGCTAAAGAGAAATTAGATGGTATTAAATTATAGCAAAATACAAATAAAAAAAGTATCTATATTCATAATTTTTTTTACAGGTGTCTCTGCACTAGCTCTTACTTACAATGATAAAGCTATAGCTATTCTACGCAAACCTGAATTTTATTATCATCGAAAAGAAGAACGATTATCTCGTCAATTTGGTACAAGCAATCCTAATCATCCATATGCTAAAATGGTCTTTGAATCAGGTGACTATTTAGTTGGCGGTGATTTAGAAGTTCTTGAAAGAGTTCGCTGGAATGATGGTTTAGATCAATATCGCTTAACTCCAAATGAGCTGCGACAGAAATTTGCTGATATGCAGGCTGACGCCATATTTGCATTTCAAGTAAGTATATAATATATTCAAAAATGCATATTTTATTTTATTATATACAATATATTTGAAAATTTGCATAATAACAACTTTTAGTTTTTTGTTAGTAAGTCAAATTTGAAGTTTTTACTTTTATGAGACCATGGTTTATATTTCCTACAAGATGACCGCGTAGGTCTGTATTTGTATTGTTATTAGACAATAATTTTTACTAAATAGTACAGGATTTTTCCTTCTTGTGCAACAAGGACAATTAATGCTGCCTTAACTTGATCCCCTACAGGTTCTTCCTTCCACAGTAGTTTCAAACACATTTTTGCTAGACCATAGCTGGATAAGATAGTTGTCTAAAACTCGTAGAAATCTAACGATCTTGCAAAGAATTTTTCTCTTTAACATTGTCAGTGTTGCGTCATTACTCTGTGATGAAAGTCCATGCTTCTACAAAATGCAGAATCATAGGTATAACGAACGAACTGTAGAGCGTAAATTGTTGTGGTCGCAGTTAAGTTCTATATCGTAATTGCGTACTAAACACATTGCAGCCATGATTTTTGTTGGTTACTGTTAAGCAAAGACAATAGTAACTTCATGTTCGCTACCACTTATGATGCGTAAGCAAATAGTTGGATACAAGTGTGATATATCGTATAATTGCGATTGTAAAATTGACGAGATCAGATAGACTGCTACCTTGACGAAGTTACGCCATGCAGTTACAAAGAATACTTTCAAATTAAAGCGAGATTAAAGATTAGATCGACGCTTGGCCATAATATAATTAACAACAGATGCCTGCGTAACCTGCCGGAGAGCGCAATACCGCTTATCACTAACGTAATTAATTGCATGCTCAATCTAGGTGAATTTCCTAAGACCTGGTAGCTGGCTACAGTCATTGTCTTACCTAAACCGGATAATAACCCACAATTACCGCAGAACTGGCGCCCCATAAGCCTGCTATCAACGATACGAAAGCTAGTCGAAAAGGTAATTCTTAGTAAATTAAATGCTGTAGTGGCTTCATGCAATATACTCCCTGACGAACAATTTGACTTTAGAAATAACCTGTCTACGGAGCTTCAACTGGCTAGAACGACCCAAATGATTCAAACAGCCCTCAGTAGACGAGAGTCGACTGGAATGATCATTTTTGACATTTTTAAAGCTTTTGACAAGGTCTGATACGATGGCTCGATAGTAAAAATGTATATAACAAAAATGTAATATATGTGTTCCAGGCAGGCTAACTAAGATCATCGGCAGCTACCTACGTGGGAGGTCCTTTCGCACGTAAATCAACAGCGCTCTCTCGTCAGTCCGAACTATAGAAACAGGAGTTCCTCAGAAATCGCCATTTTCCCCCACTCTCTACAACATTTATGCATCTGATATCTCAATGTTAGGGCCCTCGACTCTGGCGTTGTATGCTGACGACGCGTGTATGTTATACTCGGATCAATGTGCTCTCAACATAACCAACACACTTCAAGAGCATATAAACCTCATTCTGGAGTATTTTCAGAAATGGACGGTACTCCACGCGTAATTGAAGACAGAACTCGTCAAGATTGAGAGTGGGAGATATGGTAATAAACTGTGAGGATAGCATTAAATATCTAGGCATCACGGTGGACAAACACATGGCTTAAGCATGTTCAATTAAAAAGTATTAGCTATGCCAAAATTCTTCATCACCTCCAACCACTATTCAAAAATGAAAGTCTCAATACTAAGAACAGGAAGCTGTTATATAACCAAATAATTCGACCGTCACTTCTATATGGATGTGTAGCGTTTAGCAAAGCCTATAACACTACTATTCGCCAGCTAGAAATTGCACAAAGCCAGGCTCTGAGAAGACCTTTCAAGGTACCATGGCAAATTAGAACAAATGACATCCTCAGGGACCTCAAGATTGATCCGATCAAAAAATACTGGTAAGTTTACCAACACCGCGTTGTCGAATATCAGAATAGTTACAGAATGGGGAGTTATGCAGGCCTGAGGTCAATTATTGCTTAGTCTGATGAAGTGATAAACAATAATCCAGTCAAGGCGTAGAAGGATATTGAAGAAACCTCGCAGTTAATAGAGAATGAAAATGCTCAAGTACATTGACTTATTATAATACATAATAATTATAAAACTGACATATATAAATAAATACGAAAAAATAAGGGAAAATAAATTAAATGTTAATAAATAACATACAATACGAAATATAATTAATTATTGATAATATAATATTCCGTCTTGTGACCATACACAATTATAATAAATTGAATAAATATGTAAACAATGTACAAATTTAAAACTTATTTAATATATAATATTAAAGAAATCTGTCGTAACACTCTGAGTTGGAGAAGGAATTCAGCGTGTTTTTAGCGGTACGTATACTTGAAAAGGTATACTTACGAATACTCTCCGTATACCTTTTTCGTATACTTGAATGACTTATTAATTGTAAATGCTTCCGTTTTTATACATATACAAAAAAAAAATTTAAAGTATCCTTTGACGCATTCAGTCAGTGCACAACTTAAATCAAGTGCAATACAAAGTACATCTAAAGTCTAACTTAAAGCATAAAACGAATATAATTTCACAGAAAATGTCTGTAATTTTATAACGTAGCTTTTTTAAAAAGTGGTCTGACTTTAATTGGGCTAAATCATTTCTTTATAATTGATTGTTCGTGAATTCTACTTATATATATATACATATATATATTATTGATATGCAAAATATGCAAAAAGATTATTATCGAATTCTCTTGTTTCTCTCAACTAGATATTAAGGACCTTATTTTACTTTTGTATTAACTTCGCATTTATTTTAATTACATTATTATATTTTTCAGCTAAGAAATCCTATACATAATGGACACGCATTGCTCATGCAAGACACGAAACGTCAACTTCTAGAGCGCGGTTTTAAGAAACCTCTTCTACTTTTACATCCGTTAGGTGGTTGGACAAAAGATAATGATGTACCACTAGATGTACGTATGGCTCAGCACCAAGCTGTACTGGACTCAGGTGTATTAAAACGTGAAGATACGATATTAGCTATATTCCCATCACCGATGATGTATGCTGGACCAACAGAGGTACAATGGCATGCGAAAGCAAGTGAGTACAGTAAACATTACTTCACAGTTACTGGTAAAAACATTCAAATTTAAATTAAGGAATGAATGCGGGTGCTAACTTTTATATTGTTGGACGAGATCCAGCTGGAATGCCTCATCCTGATAAAGAAATGTATCCCGATGGTAATTTGTATGACGGAACGCATGGTGCGCGTGTACTTAAAATGGCACAAGGTCTTGACAGCATGGAAGTATGTAGAGTTATTCATAAGAGGTTTTTAATTATACAAAATGTGTTTTTTAGATTCTACCATTTCGTGTTGCTGCTTATGACAAAACTAATTTGTGCATGGCATTTTTTGAGTCACAACGTAAAGATGAATTTGAATTTATATCGGGAACTAAAATGCGCACATTTGCTAAAACTGGTACTTATCCACCAGATGGTTTCATGGAACCAAAAGCATGGAAGATTTTATCCGAATATTATCAATCCTTAATTAAACAATGAATTTTCCTAAATTGTTTTTATACTAAGAAATGCGTGCAATATTTTCTATACAATTCCTTATCTAAGTTACTTTATTTGTATGCATGTTAAAATATTTTAGTACTTTTTATTTTCAAATTTATTTTACAATTTGTTGTATTATAAACGTTTTAAATTTGTTAAATCTTAAATAATGAATCGTATATTTATGTCGTAAAAAAATTATAATAAAAAGGAATAAAACAATTTTATTCATATTTGCACAGAAAATTCATTGCTTTTATTGTTTTGCAAAATAATAATAGAAAGTTCGCTATTTATAAAAGAAAATGATTTAATTTTTTGATATTATAGTAGAATATATTTTTTCTTTACAAGGTGTGGTCGCGTTATTTTATTAATGGTCTCTTTTATTTCTTTTTTTTATATTTAATAAATGGTAAATATAAATTATATGTATATAATTCATATGTCGAGAAGCATTAATAATATTTCTGAAATGCAGGAACTAATCTCCTGTCAAATTTTTTTTAATAATAATTTCAGTTGGACTTTCAAGTAAACTTTCAAATGAAGCACATTTCTCTTTATTGTTTTAGACGGAAACAAAATTCAATTATTATTATTGTATTGGTTTTACGGTTTTACTCCAATGAATAATTTATAATAATAAAAATTATTATTATTAAGAATAATAAAAATCATTAT